CCCCCAAAAAAAAAAAACCGTGAAATGTTATCTCGCATTCAAGTTTTTCACAGAGAATGGGTGCTTCATGCTCCATACCAAAAAGGACTTTCTATAGCAAGTCTCCTGCTGAACTCCTTGCTGTTCCCCCGTAGGTTTTCTTCAACGAATGTGCCAATCCCTCCACTCTAGTTCATGTTGAATCGGCAACAATACCTTTGTTTCGACACAGATTAGTCACCAAAATAGCAAAAGGCAGTTAAGGTTTCTTATTCTCAATAACCAGAATCATCTAGTCCATAATCAACGTAGGGAGATCAATAGTAAGGCCAACACCAAAAGCAAAAACTGTAGTACAAAGGGTGGGAAGAACTTGTCAGCATCAGAGGTCGTCAACACCACAAAAAGCAAAATTGACATGAATTCCCAAAATCAAAATTTTTGTCTTGTTTCCTCCAGCATCACTCCAGCATATGGAAACAATTTAAGGGAAAAAAGGGTTGGATTTACACTACGCATACCAATGGTGCACCATTTCTCTCCTATCGAAGGTAGACCTTCTGAACCACATTTGTAGATTTCTTTCCTTCACTTACACCATTAATTTTTTCCTGCCCACAAAGTCTTAAAAAATCAGATCTCAATTCAAAATGCACTGAAACTTAAATTTCAAGATAGAAACATATAATGCACAAGCCTATAATACGACAAGATGTTCAAGGCTTGACGTGTTATGTGTAAAGTAGTCTATATATTCAAGTAATTGCGTTCAAATAATGTACTAAGGCTGCAAATGAGTGTGTAACTAAAAGCAAAACTGCAATGACAGGGGATATGTTATTGCATGCAAAGACAGTCAAGGAACATGGGTTCTCAAAAAGCATACAGCACAAGAATGCCATGTATGATCCCTAACAAAATTATGTAGTGAGTTGGTAGCAAGCTAATGAACAACAATACTCCAGGCCTCAATAGCGATGGTAGACATGTGTACCTTTGGGCCAATCGGTTTTGTTCTGTCACTCTTTTGTGGTACATTTCGTTTCATTACAACGCCTTCAGCAACCTTCTCTCTCATGCTGGACTTCTGAGTCACAGACAATCTCCCTACTGCATTCTCTTTACCACCACCTGCTAATCTCTTACCACAATCCACTCCCATTTTGTCCTTAGCTTTTGTGACAGCAGGCAATGGATCGTGTTTATTGACACTACGTCGTACCAAGACTCTGGGACGTACAGTGTGATTCTGAACCTGCACTATTTTATAAACAAATCAGGCAACTTCATGTTTATGGTGTGTCCACAAAAAAGTATCAAAAGTCTTTCATTGATGGAAAATTTTCAAAATTCCATGGCTTATTGTTATATGAGCAATGCTGTGTGTACCAAATTTGTGCACCAAATCACTTGTAGCCATTGGATCAGTGGGTCCCATCACTGATCCAATGACTGTAATTGATTTGGTACAAGTGTTGGTGCTCAAATTTGGTGCATATAGAATTATCCTTGTTATATTCCAAAAGAATTAAGGTAACTAATGGAAGGAAAACCTATATTAAAGCTCAACAACTCAAGAAGAAGCTTAGAAAGGTCATAATCAATGCATATTTGTCAAAGTATGAGTGATCCTCATGTAGTCATTGAGAAATTTCTCTGAGTTTGAGAGTAATTCTCCAAGGTCTGGGGTTTCCTCACTAATCCAACTGTTATTAAACTAGAACTTAATCAGAAAAAATTCCAATTTTAGAGAATTCAGTCCCATAAGTTTCTCAAGGAACTTTGTCCAGCTTCTTACCTTTGATTTTGCAGTCTCCCCATTTGTGGACTTTGGAACAATAGTTTCATCTTGGGATTTCGAACTTAAAGTCATATTGTTAGCTTGGAAAGGGGGTGCCTTACAAACATCTGGGAGCTGCACTTTCTGCTTCAATGCTCGAGAAATTGTCACAGCATTTTTACTATCTGGGGTTTGATCCCTAATTTGTTTTGCTGCAAATGTCTGGTTCTCAACATCATAACCTGGGTTTGAAGAGGAACCAACACTGGATTTACTTGAATAAGACCTGCGGCCCTCTGATTTCCTCCCACCATTGATCTCCACCCTTGACGCCTGTCTCGTAACACAACTTTTTCTAAGACTAATCTTTAGAGTTGACAAGAGCCCACTGGTGCGCCCAAATAAATGACTAGATACCTCCAAGGAATTCTGCTGATGTTGATCACTACTTTCAGATGTAATGGTACTTGTCGAATTGTTTTTGTCTTCCTTAATGGCTAAGGCACCTGAATAGACTCTTGAATCCCCACAACTGAGTATCGGTTCGGAGAAATTAGGTCCAGCAGTTTCAGTTAAACTGCTTTCAGATGCAATGGTGCTAGTTGAATTGCTCCTAATAGCTAAAGAACTTGACCGGGGTTTTGGATCCCATTGATTTCTAGGTCCCTTAGTTTCAGCTAAACTGCTTACACCAACTGAACTAACTTCTAAGCCAGCTTTTCCTTTAGAAGTCCTATAGCTTGATTTGAGTTTTACTTCCTTACCAGATCCTGCATTCACCCCTGACGATTTACTGCATAATTTCTTGACCAGGTGGCTTTTATTTGAAGTTACCCTGCGATTATGCTGTCCACATTCCTTGTTTCTGTGATATTTACCTCTAGATCTTGAGACTGAGGGTGGAAGCTCTGGAGAAGAGGGTCCCTGGTTGCCAATCTCCGAGTTTTTGAACCCTTCGCCAATGTGATGAAATGCAGAAATTAACTGGCGTGAGGAACATTGATGAAACCTGAAAATTGAGTTAATTCATTCATAAGCAAGTGTCGTAGATAATTAATATAAATTCCAAAGACAATACAGTGAAACTGCATTGTAAAGAAAGTCACTGGAAGATGCTCACGGATGGATTATGTGGAACCACTCATCATCCCTGCACCGTAATAGACAAATAAATTTGGATTCAAGAAATCAGAGTTTCATTAATGACTTAGAAGAAATACATCAATACTAACAAGAATGCATAGCCAGTTGTAAAGAAACTCACTTATCTTGGAAAGTGGACTTGGCTTCTAGAGTGAGATCAGCCCACATTGGAGCATCAATTTCATCCTGCACGTATCAATTCAATCAGCATGCAGGAATGTAAGAGTACAAAGCATGAACAATAACAAAACACTAATTTTCTTATTCCACAAAAAAAATATATGAACATTTTGGAATCAGACAGTAACAAGATTACATGCAAAAGGCCACAATCAAACAAGAAACAACCCAATCACAAGGACATTAAATCAATGAAATCCCCCCAACATTACCAACAGCCACTTGTCATGATGATTTAATCATATAAGCAAATTAACATAAAAGTTAAAAAAATAAAAAAGGAAAAAAATAAAAAAAAAACCCTAATTAGAAACACAACCAAGAAACTTGATTAGAGCCTAGCAGTAGCTTTTAGTCCAATAAATCCTAAGAACAACAAATCCCAGAATGGAAAAAAAAAAGTGCCAACAGAAAACATTTTCAAGAACACCATCACAACTATCAAAATGTGATAGCTTCGAGAACCGATTTTTCTATCCAACCAGACCAGACGAATAACGTGTGTGCGAGGTGTAAATATACCAGGAACGCCCAGTGGTGGACTGGGTCGGTGCTTTTTCTCTGAGCAATTTCGATTTTATCTTCTTCACTCTCTCGAACAGTGGCCGTCGACAACTGGGGTTTGGATTTTGTCGGAACCATTTCTGTTCTATTTTTGTATGAATTCTCTTTCCAGACGAAGAACTTTCCCTGAAAAACGTCCGATTCAGATTCGCAAAATCAGCAATTTGTGTTTTTGGAGTTTGATAGTGGGTGGATTCCAAATCCTCAGAACCATTTCTACTGAACTCTATCCAAAACATGAACGAAGTCTCCTTGAAGACGTCCGATTCAGTTTCGCAGAATCAGCAATGACTTCGACAGTGGATTCCAATTCCAAATCCTCAATTTTCATCTCAGGGGGGTCTCTTGTATCGACCACAACCAAAAATCAAAAAGAAGAAACGAACAGACGGCATACAACGACGTCGTTTAAGAAAGGTGTCCGAATAATTCACTTACCGTTTGCGCATTTAAATTCTTGATTAATAAAAACAAATACAACACTGATTATGACGAGGGGCAGGGGTGTTTCTCTTACCGAGGAAATATGTCCTTTTGTCTTCCCACTCGGTATTTTATGAAAGAGTTTTTTTTGACCTACCCTATTTGATAGGTGTGATATTTTTACTTGATTAATCAGATAAGAAATGGAGTAAATATTTTTGTAACAATTAATTTTTGAATTATTTTAATAATTTAATTAAATAACATGCACTAATTTAACAACATAATAAATCAATTAACACTAAAATTTAAAACAACAACAACAAGAATTATAATAAAACACAAAAAAATATAAACATCAATCCACCACTATTGTTACACAAATACAATAATAATTAATTTAAGTTTAAACTTTAAATCATATGGAATACATTAAAATCATAATTGCTACGTTAGGGATTAGGATTTTTTTTAGTTCATATATATATTAAAAAATTATTGCGAGTAGGGTAGAAATACGAAAATAGATGACTATTCCGCATTTTTACCCGAAAATTATCGAAAAACTAAAAACTCTTTTATATTTCTACCCGATTTTTAAGACTAACCGTTCAAAGTAGGGTACTTAAAGCCGGTTAAAAATTTGAACACCCCTAACGAGGAGGTGCAAACGGACCGTTGATACAGTTCAAAAAGGAAAAGAAATGACCAGAGTGTCCTAACTTAAGTGAAATTTGTTTTCTATAAATAATATATATAATTTGTGAAGAAGAAAAGCGGGGATAGCTCAGTTGGGAGAGCGTCAGACTGAAGATCTGAAGGCCGCGTGTTCGATCCACGCTCACCGCATTTCGTCTCCACTTTTTCACTCGCAATCTTTTCATTACGATTGAAAAATAAATGACTATTACTACACACACACTCTCTCTCTCTCTCTCTCCCCCCAGCCCCTTGTTAAAATCAGAGAGATAACAGAGAGCTTTGCAAAGTCTGATTGCATGAAAGCTGGGAGAATACTCAATTAACTTAACAACTATTCTGGCTAATAAATAGCCTTACAATAAGATAGAAAGGAAAAATAACCACCCACGACTTTACAGGTCCTATAATCGTGGTGCATGACTACATTAAACAGAAAGTAATCTTGTTCCTCAAGTTTAGGGAAGACTTATTCAACTTAACAGAAATAAGCCTAAAACAAGAGACTCTGACCCTAACGGCTAGGAAGCTCCAATAGTTTTATCATCCTCCCTTAAACTGAATGCCATTGTCATTCAGTTTATACCTGGATATTCACATACACCCAGTAAGCCTCGCATCCTCAGAAAAACATCAAGCTTTAACGGCTTTGTTAGAACATCTGCAACTTGTTGTTGTGTAGAACAATGAATTAGCTCCAAAATGCCATCCCTGACAAGATCTCGAAGGAAATGGAATCTTACATCTATGTGCTTACTCCGACCATGCATCACAGGATTCTTTGAGAGTTTAATCGCTGAAATATTATCACAAAACACCACCGTTGGACTGCTTTGCTCTTGATTTAGAACTTCCAGAATTCTTCTTAACCATACGACCTGGCATGCACTTGATGTAGCAGCTATGAACTCAGCTTCGGTGGTGGAGAGAGTAACCACTGGTTGTTTCTTTGAAGACCAAGAGACAGCTCCCGAGCTCATTAGAAAAACATAGCCTGAGGTACTTTTCCTGTCATCCTGATCGCCAGCATAGTCACTGTCCGTGTACCCTATGAGTTCTTCACTTCCTTCCTTCTTGTAGAACACCCCAAAACTAACCGTTCCTTTTATATACCTCAAAGCTCTTTTTGCTGCCAGTAAGTGAGACTCAGTAGGATGCTCCATGTACCTACTGATCAAACTAACAATAAACATCAAATCGGGGCGTGTGGCAGTCAAATACATAAGACTTCCCACCATTTGCTTGTAAACAGTACTATCAACTTCCACTCCCCCTTCATCTTTCATGAGCTTGAAGCCAGGAACCACTGGATTATGTACTGGGTTACACTGACCCATATTGAACCTTTCCAGGACCTCTTGAGCATACTTCCGTTGAGTGATGAAGATACCATCTGCCTTTTGTAATACTTCAATGCCAAGGAAATATCTCATTCTTCCAAGATCAGTCATGTCGAACTCAATCTTCATGGACTTCTTAAATTGTTCGAACATCACTTCATCATTGCCAGTAAAAATAAGGTCATCAACGTAAAGGCACACAATTAAAATTTTACCTCCAGCTGCAGTTTTAATGAATAAAGTATGCTCATAAGGGCATTTGGTGAAGCCTTCTTTGATGAAATATGCCTCAATGCGACTATACCAGGCTCGGGGAGCCTGTTTGAGTCCATACAATGCTTTTTTTAGTCGATAAACCTTAGATTCATGCCCCTTCTGTTCATATCCTGGAGGCTGCTCAATGAAGACTTCCTCAGTAATTTCCCCATGCAGAAAAGCCGACTTGACATCAAGTTGGTAGATCACCCAAGCTTTCTGTGCAGCGAGGGATATAACAATTCGTATAGTGTCCAAACGAGCCACTGGTGCGAATACTTCAGCGTAATCAATTCCATGTTGCTGACAATACCCCTTGGCAACTAGCCGAGCCTTATACCTGTCCACTACTCCATTTTCGTTGTATTTTGTCTTAAAGATCCACTTTACTCCTATGGTTTTTCCTCCCGATGGCAGCACTGTTAATTCCCATGTGTCGTTCTTCTCAATAGCTTGTATTTCTTGATCCATGGCTTTCCTCCATTTCTCGGACTTCACAGCTTCTGTGAATGTTATGGGATCCCCATCAGTGAACAAGGCTAAATGTGCCTGGTTATGAGTTTCTTCATCTGAGAGGCCTTGTCCAGTTTCATAGTCCTGCATCCACACTGGTGGTCTCCGAGCTCGTATTTCACAAGGTGAGTTTTCTTCATTTGAAATGTTACCTCCTTCAGACTCGAGTTCAGTTTCTCCAGATTCTTCATTGGTTTCAGACTCTTCTCCATCTCCCTCGTCTTCCACTTCTGCTTCTTCTTCAGTCTCCCATTCGAGCTCAGCAAATATGGCTTGTTTGTGACCATCATCCCAGTTCCATTGCTGATCTTCTTCAAATACCACATCTCGGCTAATAATTATTTTATTTGAAAGTGGATCAAATAATCTATAAGCCTTGGATTCCTCACTTACCCCCAATAGTATGCATTTGAAACTCTTGGCATCAAGTTTTACCCTCTTGTTGTCAGGTACATGGACGTGAGAAATGCATCCAAAAACTCGAAAATAGTCCACTGATGGCTTGTGCCCACTCCATGCTTCTTCAGGTGTTTTGTTCTTCACAGCAAGAGTTGGACATCGATTTAAAACATACACCGTCCAATTCACTGCTTCAGGCCAAAAGGTCTTAGGGATTTGCTTTGCTGTCAACATGCTTCGCACCATATTCATAATGGTACGGTTCTTCCTTTCCGCGACACCGTTCTGTTGGGGTGTATAGGCAGCCGTCAATTGTCTATGAATTCCATGCTCATTGCAGAAGTTGGTAAAATCCTGTGATGTAAATTCTCCCCCACGATCTGTTCTAAGGCTCCGTATGTATGTTCCAGTTTCCTTCTCAACTCTGGCTTTGTAAGATTTGAATGTGGAAAAAGCTTCTGACTTCTCCACCAAGAAGTATACCCAAGTCTTTCTGCTGAAGTCATCGATGAAGGTGATAAGATACCGTTTTTTGCCATTTGAAATAGGTTTGATTGGCCCACATATGTCAGCATGCACCAACTGAAGAATGTTGGAGGCTCTCCACATGCTTTCTTTAGGAAATGGATCACGGTGCTGTCTTCCCACCAGGCAGTTTTCACACACCTTTTGAGAGGCTTTAAACTGAGGTAACCCTGCCACCATGTTTTTTTGTTGAAGCACTTTGAGCCCATTCCAGCTGAGATGTCCATATCGGCAGTGCCAAAGGTCTGCTTGATCTGTGATCAGTGAGGAGAAGCATTGCTGTTCCTTTGGTGCGCAACGAGCAAGCACAGAAAACATTCTATTGTGTGTCATCTCTGTTTCCATGATTAAACCTTTCTCACTGTGAAAGATTTTGCATTTTCCATGTTGGATAAGTACTGCCAGCCCCTTTTCCTGCAATTGACCGATGCTCAACAGGTTGTTTTTCAGGTCTGGTACGTAGAAGACTTCTGTGATTACATGCACAAACCCATTTACCTCCATTCGTATCTTACCCTTGCCTTGTACGCTAATACTCGAGTCATTGCCAAGCTTCACCGATTCTCGAAAACTGCTATCAAGATCAACAAACATGTTTTTCTTTCCACACATATGGTTACTACACCCAGAGTCAAGAAACCAAATGTGCTCCGTTGCAGTCTCATTGGAATTTACAAGAGCCATCAACAGCATCTCCTCCTTTGTTTCAGCATAATTCGCTTTTTGTTCCTTGTCTTGCTTAGGACATTCCCATTGAAAGTGCCCTAGTTCATGACAATTGTAGCACTCTACGATAGATTTGTCGAACCCAAACCTACCCCTTCCTCTTCCTCGTCCTCGGTAAGTGCCTCTGCCTGCACCTCTTCTTCCTTGCTGGGAACCATGAGTGATCTGAAGTGCTTGTTCATCGTTCACATGTCGGCTGATTCGCTGTTCATGCACCAAGAGGCTGCTCTGAAGCTCGTCTATGGACATGTTGTCCAGGTCATTGGATTCCTCAATGGAGCAAACAACGTAATCATATTTTGAAGTCATAGACCTCAATATCTTTTCAACGATTACCACATCATCCATTCGCTCCCCATGCGTTCGCATCTTGTTAGCTATGGTGAGAGTTCTGCCAAAATAATCATTAACCGACTCTGCAACATTCATATGCAACACTTCGAACTCCTTGCGAAGAGCTTGCAATTGAGCTCGCTTGACACGTGCAGTTCCTTGATACTTTTGCTTCAAAGAATCCCATATATCTTTCGCCGTATCCTTCTTCAAAATGGTCTCCAGTATCGAACGATCAATGGCTTGGAACAAATAGTTCTTGGCCTTGAGATCTTTCAACTTCTGATCTTCATAGGTCTTCCTCTGTGTCTCACTAAGATCTGATCCTTCTGCTGCAGCAGTGATCCCTGTCTCTATTAAGTTCCAATACTCTTTGGAACGCAGAAAATTCTCCATCAGCATACTCCAATGGTCATAGTGACCATCAAACCTTGGAATGGCAGGTTGCACGAAGCTATTCTCGGATGCCATGTCTCTGGTTCTTCACTCTAATATCTGAGTCACAAGTTTTGATCAGACCTCGTGAGGAGGCTCTGATACCAGATGTTAAAATCAGAGAGATAACAGAGAGCTTTGCAAAGTCTGATTGCATGAAAGCTGGGAGAATACTCAATTAACTTAACAACTATTCTGGCTAATAAATAGCCTTACAATAAGATAGAAAGGAAAAATAACCACCCACGACTTTACAGGTCCTATAATCGTGGTGCATGACTACATTAAACAGAAAGTAATCTTGTTCCTCAAGTTTAGGGAAGACTTATTCAACTTAACAGAAATAAGCCTAAAACAAGAGACTCTGACCCTAACGGCTAGGAAGCTCCAATAGTTTTATCACCCCTTGCCTCTTTCTGCGACTTCAATGTTCATTGGAACCTGCTCTTCATTCACTCTGGCAAACCCTAATTTCCTCATTTTTTTCCCAATAAAATACAAAATTAAATAAAATTCCTCTATTCATATCATCAAATATATGCACGGACATGTTTGATTCGATATTAGCGAGGTGTGACTTCAACTAAAAATTTCGATGAGGTTGTTACGATTTCACATCGATTAAAAATAAGATTAAATGTGTGGATATAAACTCTAAGACATCCTTCCTTTACAAGTTGATTTTTAAGGGTAAATTTTACCAATAGATTCATGACATAGGCGAAGTGTACAAGCTCTAGATGCTAGTGAAGGAAAAAAGAAATTTGAGTTGGACATGAGCCAATGTATCTGATACTAATCTCAAATTGTATACGTCTACAAGCTCACGCCTTTGATTCGCGCATACATATGTTGTACACTTTTGGGATTACTTCACTCTTTTGAATCTTAATGGCAATTATCATATATGCATGAAAGAAAAAAGGTTTTTAAGTTAGAGACATGGAAGTTTTGATTGATCCAACGTGTCCAATATACACAAATTTTGATATATCTCGATTTTAGATTAAACTATAAGACTCTTGATTGGGACAATTGTTTTTCCTTATAATTTTTGACACACACGGACTGTCATAGTATGTGTCACATCGTTGCACTGCTTTGGATACCAATGGTTGTCCTCCACTGTAAAATAAATCTGCTAAATTGTGGATATAAAGATATGAGTTGGATGCTGAAAATCTTTTGAAACCTTTTGATTGGTGGATATGAAAATTGCTAACTATCACCCACCACTACTTCATTTCATGCCATCTTAGCCACACATCTTTGACTGTCTATCTCATATAATTAGCTTTCCTCACTCTCTCAGATTGCAGTGTCAATACTCTCTGGGGAAGTTAATCGAGCAGCTGTAAGCTTTAGAAAGACATGGCAGCAGCCGCCAGTTCCAGCACTGTTGTTAGAGCAACCCCATTTTTGGGTCAAACCAGGAATGCTAACCCCCTTAGAGATGCTGTCTCTATGGGCACTGGCAAATTCACCATGGTATCCACTCTCTCTCTCTCTCTCTCTCTCTCTCTCTCTCTGTTTTGCTGGTTAGCTGATAAAAAATGAGGCTTTTTTGATTGTTATTTGAGCAGGGTAATGAACTGTGGTATGGACCGGACCGTGTCAAGTACTTGGGACCCTTTTCTGCTCAGACGCCGTCCTACTTGACTGGAGAATTTCCTGGTGATTATGGATGGGACACTGCCGGTTTGTCTGCTGATCCGGAGGCCTTCGCCAGGAACAGGGCTCTTGAGGTAATTCCTGCATTTTGAATCTTTAACTGGTTTGTTTTCCGAATCTCGGTTACCACTCGATAGTTATTATGTTTAAGTTACGACTCAAAAAAATCTGTTTCGACTCAATTTTAGTCGTATTTTCCTACCACCATCAGTAGAATATATATCTGACTGGAGAATTTTCTGGTGATTATGGGTGGGATTCTATTGGTGGATCTGAAAAATATGTGCCTAATGACCATTGCAATAGAATGGTGTGCTTCTAAGTAATTTAGCTCCCCCCAGTACCAAAAAAAAAGCCCCAACACAAACAGAAAATTAAAGGAAAAATGAACAATTTTCCGGGTGGCTGCATCTGCATTTCTGAAAATGTCTGCAAGGGAGACGATAAGATTGACAGTACTTTTGTTGTTTAACAATGTCAGGTGATCCATGGACGATGGGCGATGCTCGGGGCTCTGGGATGCATCACCCCGGAAGTTCTTGAAAAATGGGTTAAAGTGGATTTCAAGGAGCCAGTTTGGTTCAAAGCCGGCGCTCAAATCTTCTCCGAAGGTGGCCTTGACTATTTGGGCAACCCCAACCTTGTCCATGCTCAAAGCATTCTGGCAGTACTCGGATTCCAAGTAGTTCTGATGGGACTCGTCGAAGGATACCGCATTAATGGCATTCCTGGAGTTGGAGAGGGCAATGACCTCTACCCTGGGGGACAGTATTTCGATCCTCTTGGCCTTGCTGATGATCCAGTTACCTTTGCTGAGCTTAAGGTGAAGGAAATCAAGAATGGAAGGCTTGCAATGTTCTCTATGTTTGGTTTCTTTGTCCAGGCAATTGTGACCGGCAAAGGCCCTCTTGAGAACCTCTTGGACCACCTTGACAACCCTGTTGCCAACAATGCCTGGGTCTATGCTACCAAGTTTGTGCCAGGATCATAGATTCATCCTCACTTCTTCAATCCATTGTCGTGTGAGTGAAGGAGAATGAACATATTGTGTAGATCATCATAGTTTGCCCCGCCTGAGGCTCCAATTATGTATCGTAAACATTCAACATAACTCTGATTTGGTGTGAATTGTGGTCCTGTTTAATTTTTTTGCTAAACAAAATCTATTCGTCACATAAACATCCTCTCTGCACAAGTTCATCTAACCCTGCTCGTTCCGTGTTGATGGAGATTAGTGCGTTATACTTACCTTTAATAGAGGTTCTTCTAGGTCTGATACAGATTATTCTTATGGATAATCATAGAATTAAAAAAAAAAACACTTGTATAATATAATTCTCCGATGATCAACATTTGCAGATGAGTGTCCCGTTAAGAGAGTCCGGCCCCCGAGATTATCGACCTAACGGAGAAAGCCATCCCTGTCTGTCCATGTGCAAGATAACTTTCCCATTACAATGCAGAAGGATCATCTGTTAAGTAACAACAAAAAAACATTTCATAGAACTTCATTATACGACACAAATCTTACAGAGGAGAAAGGACTATGAACATTTCTCTTCCATAATCTCAGCACTAACTCCTAAATACAGCAGATTCCGACAGTACAGAGTCAAACTTATCAGGGGAGGGAAGCAGGTGGAAGGATGTCAACAAATTCTCATCTGGCTTGGAGCAAATCTTTTAATCGTACCACCAAGTAACAAAATTTGCAGGTAATAAACATGACAATCACTCTCCCACATTCACTAACCTCATGCTTCAAAACCCCAGTAAATGGGTGCTGTGAGGAACAACTGCCCCAAGAAATGGTGATGTAGAATTTCAATCATTTCTTTTTCAAAATATCAAACCAGCTACCTTTGTCCACATCCCAGCATAGATGTTGCAGAGCCCAAACCTAGCATCTTTTGCTTTTCCTTCCCCACCATTTCCGGGAACTCTTTCCCACTTCTGAATGCCCGAGTTTAGAAAATTTTGCCTTTGTGTTCCGTAACTTAACTTTGTACTCTTTCTTCCATGCCTCAAACTTGTGTTGCAGTTTCCGAAGTTCCTCATCTGGATTTATAGAAGGCACCTGCCCGGACTTGACCTCAACAATGGCTTTTGCCTCATCATCAAAAATTTGTTTCCCTTGCTCAAATTCCTTTACCAGATGACTAAATGCATTAAAAGCACTATTAGTCCTTCGTCTTGCTCCAAAATCTAAACCACCATTGACAAATTTGATAGGTGTGTTTCCACCAGGAGTTTGAGTTCTCATGGACATGTTATCCTCTGAATCATAACAGTGGGGTGATGGAGAACTCTCTACTAGCCTTCCAGGTTGACCTGCAGTGTTGTCAGCAGCAGTAATCTTTTTGGCAGCAGCGAGACTCATCTGCATTAATGTTAAAAATAAATATCCTTAGGGATGAAAAGTGTTTAGTTATTATTTTTTTTTACTAACTAGGAGGTATCCAACCCTTGTATAGCAATCATCTAAATTCATGGTTTCCACAATTCACTAAACTCTTAACGACCCACGATCTGGGTACAACAATCCGAAACATGGTGGGTGTGCGATCCAGATCATCAAAATTGACGACCCCAAATTGCAATACTAACCCTAAATCAATTCACTTTAGAACATGTAGCACAAATATAAAATACATATTAATTGACTACATGTATATAAATTTATAATTATATATTATTTTAGATAATAGAAAATCAAGCACAATTATAAGATAAATGGTATCAATGGGTCTTTGGTCCAATGGTATTCCTTATCTTATGAAAGTTTTATCTTCTTGAAATCAAGGATTCAAATCCCCTTCCCACTTCCCCTCCCCCCTCCCCCCTCCCACTCTCAATCCCAATTCCAAAAAAATAAAAAAATAAGATAAATGGTAACTAACTTAGTGTTTATGAATGTTTTATAATATATAATATTATATAGTAGTGAAAACGATCTACATAAGAGTTCTAAAACGAATTGCGACCCAAAATACCGTACCAGCTAAACCTACCCCCATCACACCACGTACCTAAGAAAGTGTCATATCATGTACCCGTACTTGTACCACGTACCAAAGCGACCTACAATCCAGGTAACATTGTTTAAACCACCAAGATACCCGGTCTCTAGTCATACATACACCATGTAATTAGCAAAATAAACACTAGGGATAACAAGGCTTGATCATGTGTGGGTCTCCTTCATTTTTTTACACACTAGATCAGCAGCTTTTACCAAATTGGATATCTATCACTACAACATATGTTCTCCTTCTTTTTGGGTGCCCTACAACATATGTTCTCTGTCAAACAGCTAATGCATGTTATAGAAAAGTTGGATATCCTATTTCCTCCACAACATCAATCAAACAACCACCAGTATTTTTGAAATACTCAATCTTTGTTAAGCTATCATGAATATACATGGAAACAAAAACCTCAGTTCCACTTTATTCACCCATGAAGCCTTTGTGAAGGCCTCCATGTAAACTATCAAAGCCATAGCAGTCCCATAAAGCCCACCGGCCTTTTTGGAACAGTACTCTACAGCACATCTTAACCAATGCAGTTCACTAATCACTGGTCAATTACAGCGTCTAATTATTCGATACCATGACCCTCTCAAAGGACCCCTCCCAGGGAAACAATATTGAGGCAAGACCAAGGCAGCCTATAGGTCACTTCTCTTTGGTCTTGCAGTGAAATAGGACTACCACATCCATGAGTCATCCCAATCAAAGTGGTATTAAACTCAGAGTGTAGTACACAATGAATAGACGCAATGCTAGAGTGATAGTTCCATAAGCAACAGGTCTGCCAATGTCACTTGAGGACCTAGCGCAAAATTTGAGAGTACCTGCAATTGTGTACCATGGTTTCTATAACTTGATCCAAGGCAGCTACAGCCTAGGGTTGTTCATCAAATGTGTTCTTACAAATTCAACCAGAGGTGGTTTCAAGTGCGTCACAAAATGCGATCCAATTTGCGCCTATCCGGACATCTATTTTGAAACTTTTCCAGTAGTATTTTGTTCGATCTGGCCAGTAACAGAACCTATATATCTAAATCTCTTAACTATATCCATCTAAAAATATGAGAACTCACTTGCAAAGATGTCATCTGTTTTTGCCACATCTCCTCCATTGATTTCATCTTGGCTTCATATTCTGACCATCTCGCCTGGAAGTGTTGTAGTTGCGCCCGCAATGCCGCATTTTCCTCTTCCTTCTGACTGAGAGTCGCTTCTGCTTGCATAACCCGCCTTTGAAGCTCTTCCATGTCTGAAAGCAGAACATGAACATACTCTTGTGGCAAGTTCTGCACAACCGAGGAGAGTCACCATTNATATAGTAGTGAAAACGATCTACATAAGAGTTCTAAAACGAATTGCGACCCAAAATACCGTACCAGCTAAACCTACCCCCATCACACCACGTACCTAAGAAAGTGTCATATCATGTACCCGTACTTGTACCACGTACCAAAGCGACCTACAATCCAGGTAACATTGTTTAAACCACCAAGATACCCGGTCTCTAGTCATACATACACCATGTAATTAGCAAAATAAACACTAGGGATAACAAGGCTTGATCATGTGTGGGTCTCCTTCATTTTTTTACACACTAGATCAGCAGCTTTTACCAAATTGGATATCTATCACTACAACATATGTTCTCCTTCTTTTTGGGTGCCCTACAACATATGTTCTCTGTCAAACAGCTAATGCATGTTATAGAAAAGTTGGATATCCTATTTCCTCCACAACATCAATCAAACAACCACCAGTATTTTTGAAATACTCAATCTTTGTTAAGCTATCATGAATATACATGGAAACAAAAACCTCAGTTCCACTTTATTCACCCATGAAGCCTTTGTGAAGGCCTCCATGTAAACTATCAAAGCCATAGCAGTCCCATAAAGCCCACCGGCCTTTTTGGAACAGTACTCTACAGCACATCTTAACCAATGCAGTTCACTAATCACTGGTCAATTACAGCGTCTAATTATTCGATACCATGACCCTCTCAAAGGACCCCTCCCAGGGAAACAATATTGAGGCAAGACCAAGGCAGCCTATAGGTCACTTCTCTTTGGTCTTGCAGTGAAATAGGACTACCACATCCATGAGTCATCCCAATCAAAGTGGTATTAAACTCAGAGTGTAGTACACAATGAATAGACGCAATGCTAGAGTGATAGTTCCATAAGCAACAGGTCTGCCAATGTCACTTGAGGACCTAGCGCAAAATTTGAGAGTACCTGCAATTGTGTACCATGGTTTCTATAACTTGATCCAAGGCAGCTACAGCCTAGGGTTGTTCATCAAATGTGTTCTTACAAATTCAACCAGAGGTGGTTTCAAGTGCGTCACAAAATGCGATCCAATTTGCGCCTATCCGGACATCTATTTTGAAACTTTTCCAGTAGTATTTTGTTCGATCTGGCCAGTAACAGAACCTATATATCTAAATCTCTTAACTATATCCATCTAAAAATATGAGAACTCACTTGCAAAGATGTCATCTGTTTTTGCCACATCTCCTCCATTGATTTCATCTTGGCTTCATATTCTGACCATCTCGCCTGGAAGTGTTGTAGTTGCGCCCGCAATGCCGCATTTTCCTCTTCCTTCTGACTGAGAGTCGCTTCTGCTTGCATAACCCGCCTTTGAAGCTCTTCCATGTCTGAAAGCAGAACATGAACATACTCTTGTGGCAAGTTCTGCACAACCGAGGAGAGTCACCATTTTTAGGAATGAAAAAGAAAGTGCAATTTTCTTTGAAGTCAAGAAGGAGCAAATGAAAAATAAATAATTTTTTTCCCAGAATAATGAATGCATAACAGAGTACCTTCACCTCTGAAAACTTCTTGCCTGGATTTCCAATAGAATTTAAAGCATCACAATGAAACTCTTTCCTGTGCTGCAGATGACTAAAGTGCCTTCGAACCAACCACCCACGGATCACTGCACAAACAAAATCTAACAATAAGAATTTATATTCAATTGAACATTTACAGACTTGTCAAAGAAACAAGATGAAATTTACCAGACTGTAATCGCACAACTGTGCAGAGATTCTCATCAAGCATTTTCCAAGCAACCTGTTCCCTCGACCTTATCAAAACATCATACTCCCTTCTAGTATTTTCACCACGAACAACTGCAAGGAAGAGTAACTTCCATCAATTAATTTGAAACAGATACATAAAAAAGGATTTATTCTTGGGATCCATGGAAAATGTCATGAAAAATGTGGACTCCAATATTTATTGTATAGTTATGTTTGTAAATTTAAGCCTAAACACGTTTACGTAAAAAATTGTCATATATTGAAAAAACACAAACACTGCTAAGAGTGAAGGAAATATATTGCATATCGCATGAAAATAATGACATTCTAAAACCAGTGAAGCCAAGACGAAATTTTAAAAAATGTGTCTGCCTTACATGATTGCAGTGTTATCACTCCTTTTTTGAGTTCATGGAAGTAATGGCGAGCCCGATGACCACGAAAGTGTTTTTGCACCTCAAGCGTGCCTTGAAGAACTTGTTTTCTTGTATCCTCTAATGCACCAATCTTAATAGCCACAAGACAAAACATCAAGAGTAACCAACTCACAAGAAAATTGTTTTGATTAAAGGAAAATCTTTCATAATGCAAAAAAGCTATGTAGCATGAAGAAAAGAGCAGAAATAGCACAGTAAAGAGATAAAAATACAAGACTTCCCAGAAAAAAGAATACAAATGAGCAAATAAAAAATCACAACAGACAAGTTTCTTTTGAAAATCCATTGAAAAGCTTCAGTCCAGAACATTTATCATTTAAGTGAATTGGAATTATGTTGCATGGGCATCCACCAGGACCAAATTCAACATAATACAAGCAACCCCATTGTGATATGTTGAGCAAATTGCAACCTAGTTTTTTTATTAGAAGAGTCGAATCTCAATAGCCTAAGCCGTTACATTTCACTAGCTTCTTCATTTCATTTCACCTAAGTCTTCCACTGTTGTTTGGATTAAGATATGTGGAACTCCTGTGTTTATACCATAACAGATGTATATTCACCACTTGAACCCCACTCGTTCATCAGCAGAAAATGCCACTTACTGGTATGGGTAGCAAAGACTGGTCTAATACCCAAAACTAAATCTGTACATATATGAAAGCTAAACACTGAATTAAGAGATGCAATACATATATAGATGCAGCTAGCAGAAATGAAAAAAAGAAAACATTCCATCATATTTTTACCTTCTTACTAAAGTAGCCAACGTTGTCATCCACCTCAGGCTCCTGAAACCTCGGGAGAGAACCGGAACTGGCCGGTGTAAGAGTCATACCATCTTGCTCCTCCAACCTCTGTCCACATTTTCTCTCTTCCGATGTCATCGCATACGGTGATTCACTGGGAAGCACTTCCTTAAACTTTTCAGCCCCAAAGCTACAAATTCTTGATCTTTTAACCTCTTCCCTTTTACTATCACAACCTGCTGAGCCCTCCGGGGGCTCAGCATCGTCAATTTCAAAGTTAGTCGGCAATGATCTCTTCGCTCTGGGCAGGCGAGCCCTTGAGGTCGGCCGAGGCCGAGACGGCAAATCCGGCGGCAAGTCTTTCGGTTTCTCATCTCTTCGCCTGAGATTATCCAGCATTTCCTCCAGCGAACTACGAACCATCGAAGAGGGAGAAACTGACAACATTTTACCTCCAAAAATTTCTAAAATTGAAACGACAAATTGAACTCAATTCATTGAAAGGGTTATGATCCTTCAAATTCGAACAATGTCGAATTTGGATCCTGAGACCCAAATTAGTATCACAAGTAGAGAAATTTTCGTTGCGAGCTTGAAATTACGACCTCGTTCTCCGAATTCAAGGATCAAATTCACCGAAATGGTGGAATGAAACCCAACTATGACCGTATCGACCTCAGAGCTGTCAAAACTCTGGTTTGAGAAAACTCAAACAAGCAAATGTGTTGCGCAAACAAAATGTAAGAAACTGAACTTTGGATGAATCTAGCCGATGCGTTGGCTTTCTTTACCAAAGGCGCGAGTTACAGGATTATAAAGATGGCCAAAGAATGTTAAAAGGTTTTTTGAGAAACAAAACAGAGAGAGAGAGAGAGAGAGAAAGAGAGAAAGCAAAAAACTGTTGCGGTGTTTTTTCTTTTTTAAAACTCTTACGTTTTGAAAAACAAAGACGAAGTATCAGAAACTTCATTCAATTCCAATGGAAGATAAGATTTGCTGAAAGAAATTTGAAATTGTCAGGTGAGTAACGTAACGTTGGGGCTCGGGCATGCATGTCACGTGTTGAAAGCCGTTGAGATCTGGCAGGGCAATAAAACAATTTGAAAATAATTGGGGCAACAAAAAAAAAAAAGAAAAAAATAGGGACCTGAATGTAATTAAGGAGTGACACAGACAATTGGGGCCTGGAAGTTAAGTTGGCCTGCATCTGTTTAGGCGAATTTTTAACGGGTCTTATTGAATTCGTATTAATAAATATTATATTTATAATCGTCTTGTTTATTAATTTGTATCTAACGAATCATATTATATCGGGTTTGAGATCATGTTGTGTGTTTTAAAAAATTAGTTGTCTATCATGTCAATAACTAAAGATCGTTACTAAACTTATCAATAGATCGGATTTTAATCCGAATTCGATTAGTCAGACATAAATTAATATTTTATATTGATAATTTGAACTTGAATTCAATATCTTACATTTCACGGATAATTTAAATATACTTATATCCGATCCGATTAGAATCCAAATTAATTTTTTTTATATTTTTATATAAATATTAAAGAAATTAAGTAATTATTTAAAGAAATTTAGTTGAAATTTACGTATAATTTGTTAAAATTTAGTTAATTAAATTATTCAGATTGGATTGACTTTCGAATTATTAATGGATTTAAATATGGACTACAAAAATAAAATTCATCAAATTATTGGATCAAACTTTTGAACTTGAATTTAAATTCAAATCAGTCAAAATTCGATCTAAACTTAATCCGTCGACAGACCTATTCGCTACCACAGGCATTGTTGATTTGGGTAAAAACTATCCCAAGGCTTTTTATGGTCTACAAGAAAGAAAAAATTCTAAAGTTGGTCGGAGTTGAGTTGAATCCAAGCTACACTTTGCATTTTTCAAAGGAGTTAATGCACATGGAAAAAGCTTATAGTAGAATAGATTCTCGCATCCTTTTGTATTTCCTTTCTTTGTAGAGAGCTTGACCATGGAAAAGAAAGTGTTTTGCGACAAATCCAAAAAGAGGTTGATCTTCTTCAATCGCCAAGCCAATGATCCTGTCATAGTTCTACATTAAAAAGACGAGCACAATCCATCTAAAGGGGCTACGGACCCCTCTCTCCGTACCAAAACAAATATTAGGTGTAATAATAATGTCATATTATTATTATTATATAGTATTATTATTTAATAAAAATATAACAAATAAACAGATGAATCCACATATTATAATAATCATCTTGTCAAGTTATTTAATAACCATCCAAATGAGATTTATCTTATTCATTTTTTAGTTTATTATTAAATAGTGATATCGCGTGTCAATGATGACGGAGTATTACTGTTACACCTAATATGTTGAAATAATTTATTTTATTCAATTTTTATTTTTAAATCTTTTTTCTTTATATTATTTAATATATATATTTAAAATAAATTTTGTGATCAATTAAAATAAATATTATTAGAAATAAAATATTATAAATTTTATATGAAAAGTAGTATATATTTTATTAAAACTAAAATTCTCATTAAACTTAACTAATATAAATTGAAACGACAATTAAAAGTACAATAAATTCTAACCAAATTATAAGGTACTACATAAATTAAATTACATTAAACACCCAACAATTCTATAAAAATATTGAATTAAAAGGACCTTGGCTTAACGTTAAAGATAAAATGGATAAGTTTATATAGGTAATTTTAACATTTTCCAAATACTAATTAACAAGCCTAGCTTAATAACTTTTTAAGTAGTGGACTTCATGATAACGGTAACGTGGCATCCGTTAATTAAGGGAGAAAGGCATGCATAGATGGATGATGAGTCACCCCAACACAAATTGCAATAAAACCACACCAAATCCCACATGGCTTTGATTGATACTTTCCTTTTCGTAGCAACCCAATTTAGTGCTCGACATAGTGCCCCACTTTGGTCCGTCATATAATTCCCAAGGATGCTTTTGAAAGAATGCTTCAAACGAAAATTTTGAATATACATGATTATCGGTAAATTCATATACATTAGTTCCACTCAATATTAACATGATCCAAGTGACTCGAATCGATTCAAAGTTTAAAATGCCGTAATGGTAGATAAAAAATAAATAAATTACAACAACCCCCAAAAAAAAAAGGAAAAAACAAAAAAAAATTCCATTTCTTATTGTAATTTTACACTAGGCATGTGTCAATGCCATTGGGATCTATTGTGTTCCCTACCATAAGCAGCTCGTACACCGTTTAATCATTCTACATCATTGAGAGGAGAGTGAAGCTCTAACAACGTATGATGGTACCCCAAAAGCATCCAACGACAAAAATGGTTTGGTTTTCACAAAGAACACCAATTTTCTAGTACACTAGGGTTGGAGTGATTCAACTGATTAAACAGTAAGTTGTGTCAATAAAAGCATGCATGAATGTGTTGGTAAGTTGTTTGCTTTATCGTTTTTAAATAACTAGCCTTTGCCTTTTTTTTAATCAACAATTAGCCACTTTCTAATTTTCTTTAAGTATCCTTCGTATTAAACTATCTTCAGTTTTTACCCAAACTATTATCTAAATTTGAGTGACAAAAAAGTTAAAAACTATATTTTGTATAGATCTCTCTAACGAAAAAAACCATTTTTTGTACTCAATTTTTAAAAAAAAATTCTCATGTTATTCCAATGTTTTTTTTTTTTTTTTTTTTCATTTTTCTCTCTAAAACCTTATTTACGCCTCTTTTCTCTACTTCTTTACCTCTAAAACCTCTTTCGCCCTAAATTTTTTATTCTCTCCAAATTAAAGCACACAACCAATCAATAAAATTTTCTTGATGTTAGATTTTTTCTTCACCAGTAATTCCATTAAGTGCCTTTTGTGACCAGTAGTTTTATCGAATCCCTCTTGTTGTATAGTGAATTTTTTCTTGATTATATATATACACCAGCGATACTGCATGACTAAAGTTCTTGTATATTGAGTTATGACATTGTTGGTATATAGGAGTGTGTATACAGTTAAAGTGTGTATATAATGGAGTTGTGTGTGTGTGTGTGTGCGTAGGGCTATTAATCAAATTGACCTACTCGAGTTTGACTTGGTTCGTTTTTTAAACGAGCTCGAATTTGAACAAGTTTTTAGAATCGTTTAAAGAATTAGTCCTACAAGCTTAATTCAAATTCTACAAGCTCGACTCGTTTATGTGCATATACTCGGGCTCGGCTCGGGCTCAACTTGTTTTTGACTCGTTTAAGCTCGACTCGTTTTCTAAACGAGTTGAACTTGAACAATTTTTAAGGTTCGATTAAAAAATAAACTTTTCAAGCTCAGCTCGAACTTGACTCAGGCTCGTTCGACTAACAGCCTTTTGTATGCGTGTGCAGCTATTTGTTGTGGAGTGCGTGTGTGTGTTGGGTTTATGAAATTTAGGAAAAAAATTATACCCTCAAAAGTTTAAAAACTTAGCTATCTTATTGGATATATATATATATATATATGTGTGTGTGTGTGTGTGTGTGTGTGTGTGTGTGTATTTAGATTCTTATATGTGCAGTTTTTTGTGACAAAAGCAACAAGAGAAATAGAAAGAGAAAGAGAGACAGTGTGTCTACCTGGAGAAAGATCCATCAGGAAAAATAGTTGGAGTGGAAAAAAGGGAGAGTAGATTTTTTATCGTTAGATTTTTAGGTCTAGATTTTGAATCTCTCTTCATTTGAGTTTAGAAAAATGATTTCCCTCTACATTTGATATAAGTTTGGTCATAGGATTGAAGATAATTTTTGAGCTCTTTTTACCCTAAAAAAATCAGTACTGAAGATGCTCTTATGGCTGCCAAATTCAATTTGATACAAAATGGAGATAAAATTTTCTTGTAACGTTTAGCTTCAATGGATGCACTTCATGGTCAAGTTGATCAATTCCACTTCACAAATAATCAAGGGTTAATCACATTTTACCTCTACGTAGTTTTGACTAAAAGTACCTTATCTATTTGACATTTAAAATTATGCATAATACTCATTTGTAGTTATGTACTAAAATAAAATAATTATTTTTATCATTCAAGTTAATGGAGAATATGTTTCTCACGCTAAAAACATGTTGTGGGCATTAATTCTATTGTTTTCCTCTAGAAGAACATTATCTAAGTGTCTAAAATATTTATTTATAATATAAAATATTTATTTATAATATAAAATATTATACCAAAATAGGTAAGACATCGATCTCACATCAAAAAACATGAAAGAAAATATAAGTGATTTTCGGCCTCGAATCAAAACATCACTTGAGAGAAAAAGAGACTTTGACATGTTTGATTGAAATGTGTTGATTTGTTGTAATATTCCATTAGTTTTATGATCAATAGTAAATCAAACGAAAAGTAAGATTTTAAAAAGTGAGTATTATGATAATTTTTTAATTCTGTTAATAGAATTAATTTTCACTTTGTTACATAACTATAAAGAGGTAATATGTATAATTTTAAACATCAAGTAGGTAAGAACAATTAACCCAATAATCAATATAAACCCGGGTACGATATCTTAAACACGATCCATACCTATTATATGAAACTGATTATAGAAAAATCACAGTTAATGGGTTAGACAAATTTTAACACAATTAAAATTAAACAAATGATAGAGTAATGTTATATGGACTTAAAAATTAGATTTAAAAATTAGACTTGATAATCTTAATCATTGAATAGATAGTGGACCCTAATAAATGTTAGGACCCACAGTGAAATCAAACAATTATAATTATCAAATCTAATTATTAAATCTATTGTTAAAATTTATGTAGTATTGCTCAAAATTATATAGTCAACATCACATGATATATTGGTAGGCCCACCTCACATTATTTATTGGAACATTGGGCCAGTAGAGGCCCAACTAAAACGGGAACAAAACCGACTCACCAATACTTCATTTGGGCCGTTTAACAAACCAGGCAACCCATCTTTGCTTGTTGCAACAAAACCCTAAACCACCGCGTCGCTCTCTCCCTCTCTCTCTCTCTCTCACGCACACACACACACGCAAACATACAGAGCTATGGCGAAGAACAGAAACAAGAAGAAAGCAGGCACTACAGCAATGGACATCACTTTCGATCGTGCGGTTACCGATATACCCCAAGGTAATAAACGATTTCTTGCTTTTATTTTTCTTTCACTTATTTCTGATTGCTTAAAATTTCCTTCTTGTCTGCAAATTAATTTCTGACTCTTGTGAATTCTCGCTGCAGCAATGGACACATCGGAGTCTGCAGCTCCAAACGTATCCTCTGGTCCTCCCAATAGGTCAGTACATCCTGTTTACCACACATAACCTGCTTATCTTTAATTGTTAGGGTAAATTTTCTTTATGAGCAATGTTACTTGGATTTAATTTGTTGTCTTAATTATTCATGACCATTGAATTCACGGTAGCCCACTATTTATTGGGATCCATAATTAATCTAACGATTGGGATGGATTAAGTCAGTAAATTATGTTGGTATATTAGGTCCAAATAGCATTATTGTTTCTTTTGTGATGTTCTTCTATATATGTTTCTGTTTAAAGTAAATGGAGCCAGAAGAGTAAGCTTACGCCAGCTTTGATCACGTCTGATTTTTGTTACTAGGGGTTGTGCAAACACGGCAACCATGTGTATATAAGAGAGAGGAAGAAAAAAGATATGTAAATGTGAAAAAATTAACAGATAGATTTAAGTGGTTGAGTGTTATAGAAGAGAAGTTACAAGTGATTAAATATTGTAGAGGGGAAAAGTTGATCAAGACTGGTTTTTTTCCTTGATTAGAAGTTGAGTAGTGGAACTGTGGAAGGGAATATGGGGTACCTGGACTCTACTCAACTTTTGGAAGCATTGGAGTTGGTTATTGAGTTGACATGTCTGTTAGTGGCTAAGTTTGTCAAGAACTGTAAAGGGATAAAGTTACCTTGGGCTTTCCAAAATGGAAAATAAAACTAGAATAAACCAACATAATTGTTGGTTAAGTGACCTCCATGTAGTTATTAGCAGGAAATGAAGGAATTATGGTTGAAACCTGGATTTCCTAGCACTTTGGCACCTTTTATGTTTTAAAACATATTCTGGGGGCAGAGTTTTTGGAAAAGGGGAAGATGAGCTTTATAGTTTGCAATAACGTCATAGTGCTAATGTTGAGGAAGTTAGACAGACAAACTTTGTTAGTAGATTATTGAAAAAGGAACTTTCCTATGATTTGGTTGCTTTTGCAATGGGATCCGTATCCTCTAACACAAATGGGATTGGTACCCTCCAATACCACTTAATGGCGGTAATTTGACTTTTAAAACCATGCTTGGAGCTAAAGGAGTAAACACATCTACATATTAGGGAATATGTAGGGGAATTCCAAAAAAAAAATATCCAGAGCTTGTGTTCTTTCAGGTCCTGTAGACATTTTTGAACTTGCACTCAAATTTTACCTTTTGTCATATTTCCTAGTCAATGAGTACTGGAGGGGAGAGCGGAGAATGGGGGTTTCTCTACTCTATACCATATTATTTTTTCTTTTGTGGGTGCTTCTTCCTCCACATTTTGCAGTTACTATTGTCTTGTCAAGATATTGCAAGTGCCAAATAATGAGGAGTTGGTTCCATACCAAAACTGCCATCCAAACCAAAAGTAGTGACATTGTATTATAGAGAAAAATATATGTAGATTGGGTGTAAAGGGGAGTAATATACTTGCAATTTGTATATTTATGCTTTTTTTTTTTTGGGTTTCACATCCTGCTGCTTTTATGTGGCTTTTGCCGAGTCTAAAGCTACTGCATAACAGAATGATGAAAAAGGGAATACCAATGAAGAGATCAAAGAACGTTCGAAAGCAGAAAGCAATGGCAAAAGCTATATCTCAAAATGAGAAATCCTTGGAGAAAATTTTGAAGAATGAAAGCAAGACTTCGAGAGCCCTGTCTGCAAAGAAGTTATATGATTGAGTCGTCTTTTTTCCTGCTTCCTTTGTCAAAGTATCTGGGTTATATAATAGGAGTAGAAGCATAGCATCAATTGTGTAGTTTCTATACCAATTTCCTTGTGTTCATCACGACTATAATTATATTGTTCTAGCTTTTAGTGAGTAGTGAGTTGTCCCTATTCCGATTATGGTTTTTCTACTAAAATCCCTTCCCTCTTGTTCTGTTTGTGGGCAAAAAGAGTTTGAACCTGCTCCATTTGCACCTCTACTTCTATCAAACATTTAGCCAGTTCTAAGGAAGGACAAGAAAACAGAGACTTGACCTTGTGTCGTGGGTTTAGGGTGAACTGCTACTTGATCTTATTATTCAAATTTGTTAGTTAAAATCGATACTTTGTAACTTTGTGCACATTTCATGTTTTGGCTGACATACCAAGTTGAGAACTTACAATGAAAATCTTAAGATCAGTATTAAGCCTCTTTTTTTTTTTTTTTTTTTTTTGGTTCAGCGGTGAAGGGTGTGTGGACCAGTTTATGCAGATCTCGACTAATTTTTTCTCCCGTCTGATCAATGGCAGTCATCACGTTAGGACTGAGGGATAAATTTCTCATGATCTGACCTTAAAATGTTGTCAAAATAAACTTAGAATGTGTACGTTTATAACTCATTTATGTTATTAGTTGAAATACCGCTAAAATTGTATTAAATCTTATTGCCACTCACTTAATGAGACCTGAGAGCTTGGCATGAGTGACACGACAAAGCCTATCAACGTGATTCAGTATCAGGCAGCTCTCTTACATCGAATTTCAACTTTAAAATTCAAGCAACCTTGTCACAAACAGCAAAAATTACGACTATGCCAGGCTGGAGATTGGAAGGGAATGCGTGCCAGCACGAGTTTCTGCACTGTGGTCATTAGTATGTTTTATGGATCTAATTCAAAAGGCTGACTAAGAACTAGCCATACAGAATGTTATTTTTGTGAATATGTGACAGATCAAATTCAAAATGCTAACTAAAAACACAAGCAATGATCTGCAAACAATACAAATTGCCATGATCAGAAGGCAAACAAGACGCGCAATCACATCCTGGATGTTAAATTTCAAATTTCTTTATTGTCAAAATTCATTTAGAGAGAGGGAGAGAGGAGAGAATTCTGATTCACAAAGGGAATTCAGATTCCAACCGATCTAAACTCACCTTATTGCTCTACATATGCTAACTGCATCCAGATACAGAACAACTGAAACTATAACTCTACAAATAGTTTACAACCCCATGATTCTGGACGAAAACACCGAATGGCTACTTTTCATGTTAATTACTTCTTTGGAATACAATGGCTAAGCCAGCATGTCTTCCCTCAAGACTACTCAGTGTTTTGAGAAAAAACCTTGCGTTAGTGAGGAGAAATCATAATCTTTTCCCGGCTGTACAGGAGATGCAGATGAAACTGGAGATGCTGATAGTGGTCTACTAGCTCCAGATGGTGCCACACCATTACTAGAAGCATTTTGTCCCATAGCATAAATGCTGCAACACAGTAAGAGAAATAATGAATGGAAGACTACATGCACACGAATATGGTAATATACTCAATAAGTCCCCTTTCTTCCATGAACTCTCAGGCAGGGAAGGCAACAATATATAGCAAAGAAGTACAATTTATCTATTTAAGCGTCCATAAATAGGCGGCCCAGTGTCCTCCCGTGAATATTTTTCATATTAAGTTTTAAGTATTCCTCCAATTTTTATACGTATAAGGGAGTTAATGTTAAGTGACATGCGTCTCCCAGAAAAATGAAAATCTTAGCTCGTTTAGCAAACGGAATCAAGGAGATACAGAAATAGCAAATTAGGGTGATTCAGTCCTGTCACTGATGCAAAACAAGCATTGATTATTATCTATGCTCAACTGGATATCATAGTTCTTCCACTAACTCTCAATAACTTTACAGTTTATCAACACGAATCGGGATTTATGTGTTACTGGTACAAAACAAATAACTAAATCAAAATTTCTGGAAAATTTTGCCAAAAGTCATGGAATTTTCTTCATGGAAAAGCAGAAGATAGTGAAACACCTTAAGCGCCAGGGTTTTTAAGAAGCTGAGAGCCTGTCTGTCGGCCACAACCAATAGCCGATAAACAAGCATAAAAGTTCCATTTAAATGTTGTCCAATTGCAATAAAAAAAAAAAAAAAAAGTATTTTACAGCTCATAAAATGTTGTTAAGCTTTCATAGAAAAAAATTTATAGACCATATAATTCTAGTAACATGAAAAGCGTTTAAAATACACAAGAAAACAGCAGTAATGCACAATCGCAGCCTTAAAGTTACTTTTGAATTATGCGAGACAAGAAAGCAAATTAATGCTTCTTCGAATGACGCCAAAATCAACAAATAGTTGTTTCAAAAAGCTTATACAAAAAAAAAAAAAAGAGAACCAAATACACTAAATTTAAAAAAAATCTGGCTTCAAACATCTGGACTTACATCTAGCAAATAAACCCATCAAGGTCTGAACCATTACACACTGAAATATGCAACATACCTAGATGTAGGAAAAGAAGTGGAGTCCCCAATTGGATGTGTTGCTCCAATGTTCCCCATCTGGCATTAGAAAGAAAATAGCCATGTGAACTCTGTTAATATTTTAGTCAAAGAGCACTGAGAATTAATGGTGACTGTTTGCTCCACCTGCATATACTTATCCAGATTAAACAAAAATACCTGCATGAATTTCTCTAGTTCACTCTTTCCATCTGCTGGCATCATCATCCCAGGAAACTGGTGGCCAACGTTTGGCCAATTTTGAGCAGGTAAGCCCATACCATTGGACCTTTGTGCACTGCCAAGAATATTTGGCACCCCACCGGCAGACTTAGCTGCAGCAGCCATAAGAAGGGAGTTTTGCTGTGCCAGCATAGCAAGTTGCTGTTGATGAAGAGAAAATGGTGACACCATATTGGACTGCAAGATAATTAACCTAAAGAATTAGATAATCCACTGCCAAGGTATTCAAATCAGCAGCGCAATCACCCCAAATCACAAAAAAAGGAAGTGTGACCCCTCTTCCAGGCATTATTCAAACAACATCGAGCTGAACTTTGAACTTTAATACCAGAGAAAATCCTTAAGCAAAGAATTATATATCAGGTACCTTATCAAAGAGGCTCATTATATCATTTTTAGCATCTTTCCGAGCATTCTCTGATGTGGTAGGAGGTGCAATTGATGGTAAATCTTTAAACATATCTTCAATTCCAGAATTTGACTGGGTCTCACTCTCATTGGATTTCGTTGGACGAGTTTCCTCAGCAGTTGATGCTTCTCCAGCAGCTGCAAGTTGTTATGAGTCAAAGTCAGAGGCACATATTTGCCACAGAACTTTTAAATCCTCCCCTGGACCCCGCCCCCCCCAAAAAAAAAACCAAATGGTTTAAAAGATGAACAACAAAAGCCAGGTAACCACATTAACAAAAGTTAGCATAAAGTAGGCGTACACTGGAAACCTGCCCATGCGTCATCGGTAGAAGCTGCCACAGAACCATTTTCACTAGGATCATCCATAGAAAGCATGTTGAAAAGATCAGTAGCATAATTAACTTTAACAGGAGAGACAGCTTCCACAACCTGCTTTGCGGATTCGGCCGGTACTGCTGGCTCTGGTTTCTGAATCTCCTGTTGAGGCTTTGGAGCAAGAGTGATCTGTTTATACGTCAAATATGTCAGGTTAACAGTCCTTAAATTTTGACCTTTTCTTGACTGAGAATCAATTAGGAACAGGTGATGGGATAATTATAAGCTCTATGCAACCACACAAGTTAAAACTGCCACAGTTTGGCTTCTTGTGAATGCATTTTTACATCACATAACCACGTAATTTACCCTGGATAATTGGCTAACCACTGACTGGTCCCAAATTAGAACATGATGTACTCTTTGTTTTATAAAATGCCAACCTGCTGACATATTGGAAGGTGCAAATGTAAAGCAGAAAACCAAAAGATCAATCACCGTATCAACCAGGGTAAAAAATTTCAGTGGCTTTTAATAATACTTTTTATAATTACAAAAATCACGAGAAATTCAACATAGAAGACAATTGCAGAACCTGGCATGGAAGTTGCAAATGCGGTGTGTGTGTGTGTGTGTGTTGGGGGGGGGTGGAAGTATGAAGCAAGTTTAAGTAAACACAACTTAACATACAGGTTCAGGTCCTTTTGGAGGCACAGGAATGCTAATTCTTGTGGCAGGAATGCTATCCTTCGAACTAGGTGCATGAAGGTTCTTCCTTTCATCAGACGAAGTTTCATAACTGTTGGCATATCCATGGCCGGTTTGATCACTGGATCTTTGCGACTGCGCAGAAGCCTTTTCTTCTTGTCCCCCAGATGTTGACTTGGGTTTTCCATCCTTTGGCACCCATCTCTTCTCTTCGTACCTTAATTTACAAATTAGCAGATGTGACTTAAGACTATAATTAGAGGACAAAAGAGTAACACTCCAAGGAATAATATCAGCGATAACAAGTGTCGATAGTAGTGAAAAAGCACATACTTTGCACGAATGAAATTCTCGATCCCAACTCTATCATAATTGTGGGGTAGTTCTGCTTCCCAATAACTATTGGCCTTCTCATTTCCCATTGCTGTACACAACAGAAAAACGAATTTAATAACATCAAAGTATTTAATATGAAATCAGCATCAACCCAAAAATATCAAACTCATGGAATGAGAACAAGCTTACACTGAATAAACGCGACCTGTTCAGGAAGCCATGTGTCCAAAGTAGCGGATCTCACCTGAAGAAAAATATATCAATAACTGTCGCAAATTATAATTAATATTCTTTTAAATCACTAATCTGAGTGAAAATAAACAGTTCTCACACACACATCTATGAATATGGAAGGTTATCATAAGATAATTTTAAAGGTCCAATACTGGAAGCTCCATCAATGGGGATGCATTAGGAAATTTTGGTCCTAAAGATGATAGTAAAAGGAAAACAATTACAGAGTGCAACATTTGTTGAACTAGGGGGCAACTTGGAGGGTTGAGGGATCAACCCTAGCCCAACCCTAGGTACAAAAACCCTAATCCTAACCCGACCTGACCTCAACTCGAGATACTCAATCAGAGTATTGCCCGAGTTGATTTCGAACAAGCTTGGTTGAAATCGGATTACCTAATTCGGGCCTAACAAACAATAATTCTAAATTAGGTGTTAGATTTTGCATAATGTTGGACTATTACATAGGACCACATGACCCACTAAGATGAAACCCATCAAGACAACTTGTTAAGGGTGTAAAGGTGAACCTTCTTTATATAAGGGAGATGGGAGAGAGGGGATAGGTCATTTGAGTTGTCTATCCAATGTGGGATGACAACTCATTTTCTTTTGCCTTTTATACTTATCCCACATTGGTTGTATAAACTTTTTTCACCATCTATAGTTCTTATAAATCATGTTTCACTCCCCCTTTAAATAATAATAATAATTACAAAATATGTATTTATATTTTATTTTTATATATTGTTTATATAAATATAACACCTGAATTTGAGATTGGGTTCGGGTTGAGTCTGATTTCATCATTTCAGGTTGAGTTTGGGTTAAACATGTTAACTCGAGCTCTTAACTTAAACCTTGCCCGAATTCAATTCAGATTGAAATTTTTCAACCCTAACCCAAAAAACCTCAACTTTACAGTATTTTTTTTTGAGTTGGGTTCAAGTTGGCCTACCCAAGTTGCAGAACAACACCACAAAATCGATAGCCAAATTATTGATGAGCTAAATGAGAATATGGACAAGAGTTATTCTCAACCCTCAACAATGCCATATATCATACACGATTACCAATCCACAATAGGACATAAAGCATCCCATGGCATGGCTCGTCTACATAATTATTCTCACTGGCAATGAAACAACGAACTTAGTGGAAAAGTTGCAAATTATTAGAAATTAAAAAGGAACATATAAAATTATGACAGAATTACTAAAAATAACAAGTTGTTAATTCAACCCTACTGTACAACATACTCATGTCTCAAAATAATTCTCATACACGTGCAGAACACATAGAAATGTCTTATTACAATAGCCAAAAGATTTAACTGTGTTGATGAATATGTGAGACTATCTCATTTAGAGAGGGGATACAAGGCTACACAAACAGAAAATGTGAGCCTTCAGATCATCAAGGTTCCACCCTATTACCAAAACTTGTTTAACTATCCATTGGGAAAAACCACAAACCATCTTAACACTCTTCAAGACAAGCTTAGGGTACTCAAATCTCCTACTGCCATGCTATAACTCAAAGAAAAAAATCTACCTTACTAAAGTAAGCTGCATGTCTGCAATGGTGAAATTAAAGTTAACCTGTGGGGAATATGTGACACCATAAAATATGCATAAACAAGTCATGGTGTGATTAATGTGCCCTTGCACCTCCATCAACTAACCATGATTGTAGATTCGAACCTCAAATTGACCAATAAAGAAATGGCAATAGTTCGAGAGAGAACAACCAATTAACAAGACTCAAACAACGGTAACAAAGCATTTACGGTAGTTCATTGTTCAAAATCATAACAATGTCAACATGTGATGAATATCATCATGGTGTAAAAACATGTACATTATATGTTGATTGGACAGTTTCTCATAACAAACATTGTTCAACACTAATAGTGAGTAAGAAAAATAAATTGTGCACTTTTGCATCTTTGCACAATCAATACTTATGCTCAAAGTCCGAAGTTCAAGCCTGATGGACTGCAAAACACCTTTGATCAAGGCAAGGCTGTGTATGTGTGCTGTACTTCTACTTGAGGCATCCTTGTGCCTACAAGAGCCACTCATGACACCAGTCTCATAAAGAGTAAACAGTGTGCTCGGTAGACAGCAGACATCAATGTTCTAAGCACAAAGGAGAACCTTCTGAAACGGTACCAATCCAAACAAATAACTTCCCATTACATGCACATCTATTTCGTCCACAATGAAAGCACACAACTAAAGAACAAAATATCACCTTCGATATGTGCACCCCAAGACTTCTGTGGATCCCAGAACATTGCATGCATATAAAAATACCTAGATTCACACTACCCCATCGAGGACCCCTGCATAAACAGGTCACTATTAGCCATTCACACACACACTAAATTCTTGATTAAAGAAAAAAAACCGATGCTGAGTAATTCAACAATTTACTAAGATTCATAGTTTCTAGATGTATAGTTATTCATCCAATTATTTCTTCATAAATTAGATGCCAAGCTCTGAAATTTTCATTGTTTCCTGATTCATACTTGCTTTTGCAGTCAGCACACTCCCTATTCTCCGGCAATTTAAGAAGTCCTTCCAGTATCTGCAAAATCAGAACGGAACAACATCAATATTATTGTATGACAACATATCAGACACTGGTCGAACAATAAAAGGATCTATTAAAGGGGTACAAGAGAAAAGGCTACAGTGTGTATATCAGAGGAAGAGGCTCTTAATCCAAAGGCTAGTATATACATTAGAGATGATAAGAGGGGAACTCCCCTAATAAGCCCTACTCAATGCTTGTTCTATTAAATGGAGAATATGATATATAAACATATGACCAAACCGTGTGATAGCTACTGAGAAAAGGTAATCTAGAGTAAAAGTTCCATGTAAATTATTCTCAATACATGACCAAAATTTGATGGAAACCATAATGATTATTGGGCACAATAAAGACTCCAGCTTCTTAAACACAACCTAATACAAGTATAGAACCATCACTCATATACTTCAGGACTCACCCAATGAGTCTTAATTCAATCATCCAACCATCTAAGCATAAAATGAATCAGTCAAAAACAGACCCCTGAATAATATCATATCATCAATCCAAAACAAAAAACAAAAAATAAGATAATCAAACAACCAATCGATCAATCACAACTCTAATGTCAAAACTCCACATATTAAACCTGGATAAGATCGAAAACAATTATTTACCCATAAAAAGAAGATCGTAAACAGTTAATACAATAATAGGTGACAAATCACGAGATCTCAATGAATAAAATTGACACCTTCCTGTGCCTGGCATTGAGCTCTTTGGAAACATTAGCCTTCTCGTTCATGGCGAGTAATTTCTGCTCGATAATCGAATATTAAAAATCAAAAAAAAGAAATTTGCGCAGTTAGAGAGAGAGAAGAAGGCAAAGAATGATCGTTGAGCTTTCTCTCTCTGCTCTCTTCTCTCTTCTCTCTTCTCGCTCCCCTCTTTTCTTTCTCTATATAAACCGTCTGATTATCTGACCACCGAGCAACTGAGAGGGATAGAGAAAGAAATATAAGAGACAGCGTCCGCTTGACTCTTATTCACAATAAGCATAAATTGACCCTAATACCATTCACTGTTGGGAAAAAAAAAAAAAAAACCCTCTTATTCACCATTTCAGATAGATAAATAATAAATAAATCCTAGTATTATAATTAAGACAATGGAGTCCTATTAGTTTTTCCTTAGAATATTTAAGTTTTATTTTTTAATATAATTTTAGGAAATTATAATTTTACTAAAATTCTTCTTTCTTCCATTAAATTTAATTAAGAGAATACTATAATAACCATAAATATAAAATTAAAACAAATAAATACACATTTCTATTTAAATCATTATTAAAATTTTATATCCAAAAAAAAATTGTTAAAAAATGGTAAAAGGATCATTTGATTTTATGAAAAATATTTTTTTTAAAAAAAATATTATACCAATTTTTCTTCCGATAAAAGATTTTGATTATTTATTACATATTGTATAAGTTATTTAAATATATTTAGTGGAAGACATTTTATCCGTTTTCTAAATAGATTAAAGTTCATTAAAAATTATGAACAAAAACTAATTGTTTTTTAAATAAGAAAGGATACCATTGCAACAAGGATATTATTGATGAAGCCTCAAACTAGTTTGATACAAATTATAAAAATAAGTCTAAGTGTCTTATTAAAAATTTGATTATCTCCAACAACGTTTTGTTTCAGGGAAAAAACAACATAACACTAAGATTTCACTATCAAAAGTTAAAGATTACATGACCATTCTCGATAATAAGCAACAAAAAAATGTCACCGTTCTATCGCCCAATTACAATAAATAATTAAATAGTGCCCAAAACTTCTTACATGAAGAAGGACCAAACAATAGAGCAAACCCAAAAAAAAAAAAAAAAACTCCGTCTTGTTATCGACGCCTTGCTTGAAGTCACAAACTCATTCAACTTGGGACACATCAGGTAGCTTGGGTGTGTGAGTGTGTTTATAAATCTTCACTTGATCTTTACTTTGTTAAAGTAAGTGATTAAGTGTGAATAAAAAAAAAAAAACTTGGGCATTCTCTAGTCAAAGTCAAATCCACCACTAAGTCTATTTCCAAGTTGGTGTAAACTAAGAATTATTGAGAAAGAATTATGTAGTCTCCTTGAATATTAAAACACAACAAAAGATCCGTGTCCATCAATTTCGAATGATGTCATCCAAATTAGATTCAAGTCGACTTAAAATATAAATCATATACAACAGTTCAGTGTTCAGCAGGTGTTATTTGACAATCTAGCAAACTAAATTTTTGTACAATAGATATTAGTTTATTTCCATGAAAAGAAAAAAAAATAACATTAGATTTTAAATTGTGGGATAACTATTTACATAGAGAAATCGAGGCTTTTTCAATTACTCCTAATAGGAAATGCCAATCAGGAATGGATCTTCAAATTAAGAGTAACAGAATAATGGATGAATACGAAAAAGAAGAAAAGGGGAAGGACAAAAGATAGGTTCCTATCAATCTCTTTCCAAATGTGGGTGGAATCAAGTTGGCCATGTGATATAGCCCACATGGTTTGATTCTGTCTCTCTCCAAATATCTAAGTTATACAGATATTATCTGAAAATACAGCGTAATGTGAATGATTTTAAAAGTAATGTTAGTGATTGTTAAATGAGTCTATTTGATATCGTCGAATGGATTTATTGAAATCTGTCTTGTTTTATATTATAAAAATTTTTAAGTTGATTAAAAAAAAAATATTTTCTAAGATGTTCAAAAATGTGTTTATAAAAAAATTAAGTTCCAAGACACATTTGTGCCTGGGTGTCCAAAATTTATTTTTGGTATGACGGTGAAATTAGTATAAATAAGATTGTATTTATAGTTCAAATTTATGAGTTATTTTTTTGGTATCTTAGTAAGAGTACAGAGTTCTTCACTACAGCTTTTAAGCCTTTCTTTTAGAGCTTGGGAAACTTGACGTAACTGGATCTGAGACTCATTAGGTGCGTGAGCACTCCACTTGTTGAAAATATCATCTTGTTTTTCTTCTTATTTTGTAAAATAAGTAAGAATCTGGTGACTTATTTCTTCTGGTTGGCTTGAGTCCAATCTCATTTGTCAGGAGATAGATTCGTCTTGCTTAGGAATGACAAGATTCAATACAACACATCCATAATATATGTATTCAATACAAAATTAGTAAGTTATGTTTAATTAACGCTAGGTAAAAACTAAAAAAAAAAAAAACCTTTGATGGAAAACTATTAAATATGAACTCTTCTTTGTTTATTCAATCCATGGTTCACCCTCAATAGACTTGTTCCACAATGACTGATCTTTTAAGTGAGGGAAGAGGGAGAAAGAGAATAGGAACTATAAATCAAAAAAAGAGTTATATGCAGCTAAACCACTTACATAACCCGTTAATACAAATAACAAACATGATACATTAGTGGCAAAGAGGAATGACTTGATTTTTTGAAAATGACATTAACTAGTATGGTATGAAAAAAAAATGTCTCAATCTTTTTTTTTTCCTAATCTAATATTGTTGTAATCCTTAGTATGATTAGATGAATTTGTTAGACAGTTTTGCTAGTTAGTATGAAGAAGATTTTTGATTTTTGATTTTTAATTTGTGGAACTCACGAGTGATACATTTTATGAAGATGTAACAGAAGTGTTCAAATCAACATAAACACGATATAATTTATAAATAGATCGAGTTAGTATTAAGTTATCTAACATTATTAATTAGATGACTAAAATTAAAATTAATTAATAATCGATATAAATACAAGGGTAAATTGTAAGAGGGTACACCAAATTAGACTTATTTGGCAAAAAATACACACTAAAAAATGTAGGGTTATTAAATACTTAATTTTGATACTTATTTGTATCAAAGTACATAATTTGAATTTATCTATTTTTATTGTGACATTTTTGCCCTCTATTAATCCATGTGTGTTTAATGCATTTTTTTGAAAAATAGTGCATTAAACATCTTCTAGTTTTATGGGAGAACTTTATATATATATATATATATATATACTTGTTGTTAAATCTCTTATCTAAATTTTAAATTATCTTTTAATGCACCTTGATTCATGCATTTTTTTTTAGAAAGTGGTTTTATTTTTAAATTAATTTAATATCCGAATAGTGTAATAGTGTAACAATAAAAGTAAACAGTGTAACAATATAACAATAATAGTGTAACAAACTATTTACACAAAATATTGTACTATTATATTTTGTCAAACATATAATTTTATATAATTTCATTCAAAATAGTTTATCTACGTTTTGAATTTGTTACCATATGCACAAAACTACTGAATACTGTTTTTGTTACAGTGTATTTGTTAAACTGTCTTTGTTACACTATTATTATTACATTGTTATTGTTATACTATTACATTATTTGGATATTAAATTAATTTGAAAATAAAATTATTTTCCAAAAAAAACAACGCTTGAATAAATGTGCATTAAATATAATTTGAAAATAAAATCACTTTTCAAAAAAATACTCATGAATCAAGATGCATTAAAGATAATTCAAAACTTAAATAAGAGATTTAACAACAAATATATATATATATATATATATATATATATATAAAGTTCTCCCATAAAACTAGAAGATGTTTAATGCACTATTTTTCAAAAAAATGCATTAAACACACATGGATTAATAGAGGGCAAAAATGTCACAATAAAAATAGATAAATTCAAATTATGTACTTTGATACAAATAAGTATCAAAATTAAGTATTTAATAACCCTACATTTTTTAGTGTGTATTTTTTGCCAAATAAGTCTAATTTGGTGTACCCTCTTACAATTTACCCTTGTATTTATATCGATTATTAATTAATTTTAATTTTANTAAGCTTGATTTTGAACTTTAGAGTATATCGAATCCACAAAATAAAGAGTAATATGAAATTATAATTTTTTATTAGGATAAAATCATATTTTTTAACGATTATATTAATAGATATCAACGAAAAGTGGTTATGTTTACACATGTACAAACGTCATGAGATGTAGGAGTAATATTCTAAATGTGAAGGGGTTCAAATGATTAAGTGACAAACACGAGGGGATCTAGGTATAATTTATCAATTTAATTTTAGGTGCACATTAATACAGATTTATATCTTTGAGGGTGTAAATTGAGATTTTTGATCTTTGGGGGTGTACATTGATACAAATTTCTACCTTTAAGGGTATAAATTAAGATTTTTGATCTTTGAAGGTATAAATTGAGATTCGAACGATCTTTCAGGGTACAAAATGAGATTAACCCAATACAAAATGATACAATTCAGACTCAGGTCCATAGTCCAATTCCAAAGAGCCTGCCCATGCAACAAGCCCGGCCCGATTAATTGCTATTACTATTTCGAGAGCCAAAACCGAAACGCTCTCTCTCTTTCTCTCTGCCGTTTGGTTTCGAAGAAAACGTGGGAAAAGGTAGGCAAAGAAATCATCTTATCTATTCGAGTATCACCTTATCTATTTTCTGACGATTAGGGTTTATACCTACAGTTTTAGTGACTTTTTGTTTGTTGTCTATTTTAACTTCGTATTTGATTCAAATTTAAGCTATTTGCTCTGCTATCTATGAAGACAATCGATAGAAACAGTCACTGGCTTAGTTTTAATTGATACTCGGGGTTATTTTTTGTGCTAAATGTTCATTATCTTACAAAAATATTTAAAAATGGTGAGCTTGTATAACTTGTGAGCTAAATGTTCATTATCTAGGGTTTTTTTGGTTAGGAATGTGTAGCTTGGCTCCTAGAGGCTTGCTAAAAAACAAGCCAGTCTTATTATGAAGGATTATATTGTCTCTGCTTTGTCGTCGTGGTACCTTTTCCCCGCTTTGCTGATGGAGATCCTTGGGAGAACTTTTGTAAAATTTTATGCTGAGTTGCTATGAAATAAGCATGAATTTTTTTTATTTGCTTTGGGATGCCATTTCACCAAAATTATATTGACTACT